ACCATACCCTATTCTAATTACTAAGGTCCCTACTTACACTAGGATATAGGGAGGGTTGGGTTTTGGGGTTTGGGGTTTAGGGTTTAAAGGTTTGGGGTTTAGGTTCAAACCTTCGGGGTTGGGGCAGCGGGGCCGCTATACAGAAAACCCGAATACTGAAGTCCATGTCCCTTACCGTTCCTTTGGTGATCCCGAGTATCTGGGCACCGGTTTGAGAGTGCTTTGTTTGAAGCGTTGGATTAGGTTACAGGCCATGAAGCAGGCATGCTACAAGGGGTTCCTTCAAGGGTTCAAGGAGGATTCGCTTATGGGTTTAAAAGTTTGGGCTTAGAGTTTACCGAAAGCAGGTTAGACTCACATCCCCAGTTGAGCCATGTTGCTGCAGGTTCCTCAGCCCCAAACGAAAAGTGTTTGACCACATGGCCGGCGCCTCATGGACGGATGTGTGTTCACGACCTTAAAACCCTAAACCCCTAAGCCCCTAAACCCTAAACCCTAAACCCCTTAAATCCTAAACCCCTATATAAACCGCTGAGCCCTCAACCCTAAGAGTAGGGTTCTTTTTAAGGGGTTACTGTAAGGGGTACTATAGGGGTACTACAAGGTTTTAGGGGTCTCAACAATTACCTATACTATGTCGGGGGGCTCCTTATTCTATTTATAGCATAATATTCCACCCAAACCCTGTTCTAACTACAAAGGTCCCTACATTCGTCTATCATGCAATGCGTTCCAGCTCGCATGTTTGTGCTTCGCGGGTTCAGACTCGTAGCAAACTGCTGCAACACCCTAAACCCTAATCCTTAAACCCCGCACCCTTAGCCCTGAACCCAAACCCAGAAGGCCCAGAACCCTTAGCCCCGAGCCTCAAACCCTGAGCAATACTGTAGGGGCTTAAATAATTACCAATACTATTTTGAAGGTTACTTATAGTAGATTAGCCCCAAAACCCTGTTCCAATTATTAAGGCCCCTAAACCCTAAACCCTTATGGTGGACCTTATAGGACCCTTTAAGGAACCCTTTGAAGGAACCCCAAAACCCTGTTCTAATTATTAAGGCCCCTAAACCCCAAACCCTTACTTGAGAAGGAACCCCACGGCCCTATTCTAATTATTAAGGCCTCCAAATTAGAAGATTCAGAGAAGCTTTGAGCTGTCGGTTTAGGGTTGAGGGTTTAGGGTTATGGGTGTGCTCTGGGGTCCTTTAGCCTCTGCCTTGAGAAGTTTAGAGGCCATGGTGAAGACCCTGAACCCTGCCCAGTTTCGGGTGTAGGGCATCGTGTCGCAGAATATGGACGCCTAAATGGTCGGTAACGTTGCTCTCTTTTCTCACACAAAAAACCACCAAAAGCCCTCCTCAAGGCCCGTGTCTGATGGCTCTTTTTGGGGGTGTCTGGATCTTGACGTTTCAGGGGAGAGGCTCCGGAACCCTAAACCCTAAGCCCTAAACCCTAAACCCTAAACCCTAAACCCAGAAGCCGCCCTGGAGACTTTCGGAGGTCCCCCCACATCCCCAGAATCCCTCGCCCTAGACCCTAAAGCAAAGCTTTGACAATCAACCCTAGACCTTCAACCGTAAACCCTTAGGTTTAGGGTTTAGGATTTAGGGCTTAGGGTTTAGGGTTTATCCCTAAACGGTAAACCCTGGACCCTAAACTCCATAGAACTTGCGGAGGCACCTCAGTTCGGGAACAATGGGCAGCTGTCGCGCGACGAGCGCGTGCAGCTGTACGGAATCGACTGTGAGGACCAGGCCTCCAGACTCAAAGACGGTTTAGGGTTTAGGGTTTAGGGTTTCGGGGCCTCATTATTATAGAAGAAGGCTTTAGGGTGTATTATCCTATAAGTATCATCATCATAAGGAAGCCCGAAAGAGTCTTAGTAATGATTCAGGCCGCAAGGACCCCCTAAACCCTATACCCTAAGCCCTTAAAGCCCAACCGTAGATTCTAAACCCAAGGCTTTTTGGGTTTCCCTAAGACCCTAAACCCTAGACCCTAAAGTTTAGAGTTTGTGGGTTTAGGGTGTAGGGTTGAGGGTTTAGGGCTTAGGGTTTAGGGCCCAAAGTTTAAACCTCCAGCGTTTGGTGTATATATAGACATAGACATAGAAAAAGATAAATAAATACATTAAATAGTATATATATATATATAGTATGCATATGTATATACATCTGCATACATATAAATAAATAAATAAATA